ATGAATTCTTGGCACCTTTGTCTAATATAAGATAATTGTAATTTTTTTGGTTAGTCTGTGACCTCTATTCTGTACCATTGGTCTACCAGTCTGTTTTGGTGCCAATACCATGATATTTTTGTTACTATTGCTCTGTAGTATAGTTTAAGGTCTCGTATAGCGATGCTACCTGTTTCACTCTTCCTGCTAAGGATTGCTTTAGCTATTCTGGGTCTCTTATTTTTCCAGATGAATTTCATGATTGCTTTTTCTATTTCTATGAGGAATGTCATTGGAATTTTTATCAGAATTGCATTAAATATGTGTAGTGCTTTTGGAAGTATGGTCATTTTGATAATATTAATTCTGCTTATCCAAGAGCAAGGTAGATCTTTCCATCTTTAAGGTCTTGGACACTCCAAAGTTGTGGGTGCCCGAGGCAGCAGGATCCGCCCAAATCCCAGAGCCGCCCTATTCCCCGCCCCAGGATCCGCCCTAATCCCGGAGCAGGGTCACCTTTCAACCATTCCCTCTAGCAAAATGCCAGGCGTCATTCCAACTAAACTGTGTCTCTTAACAACTACATGCCTCTGTCAAGAACTGGTGTGTTTTAGAAACAAACTCTGCCCATATATATTTCGTGTGTTATGGGGAAACAGATAATCAAGAATTAAAATACGCCAAGAAGTGATGGCGTATGCTTGTAATCCCAGCAACTCAGGAAGCCGAAGAAGGAGGATCACAAGTTCCAGGTCAGCTTCAGCAACTTTGTGAGCCCATCTCAAGATAAAAAGGACTGGGGATGTAGCTCAGTGGTAAGGTGCCCCTGGGTTCAATCCCCAGTTCCCACCTCCACAAAAGAATTACAAAAACAATAAGTGCTTTTATTAGAGAAGATATTTAGATCAGACATATTGGGGAGTTCAGGATCCACGACCACAGGATGAGGGATATTTTAGGGAACTGAATATCTACTAAGTGCCATGTACTGTTCCAGTACTGAAAATAAAGTAGAGAATACAACACACAAGGTCTTTTTTCTCAATTCTAACATTATAAAAGTGGAGCAAGACATTAATTACTGAACTAGAAAAGTACTAGGGCACTTTAGGAGAATACCACAGGCAGGGTGGTGGTGGGGATGAAGATGCTACTTTAGAGTGGAGAGTGGGTAGGCCTCTTTAGGGAGGTGTCATTCAAGACGAGATCTGAATGGCAACCGTGGGAAGCTCAAAAGGATCATATCAGGCAGAGAGAGGAGCTGTTGCAAAAGTCTTAAGCAGGGAATGAACTTTGAGTTTTTGAGCTGGCAAAGAAGACCAGTGTGGCTGAAGTTCACTGGGTGTGAGGAGGGGCAGGAGGTGAAATGAGAAGATTAGCAAATTAAACCTTTGTGAGACCTGGAAACTTGAGCCTGGTGATCTTGGAGAACTGCTAGGAGTTCCATATGGCAGAAGGGAAGGGATATGTCAGGTGATGAAAGGTGATTCAGGAGATATAGAAAAGAACCAGATTCTGACAAACTACATGAAAGATCTGGGACACATTTAATTTTGCTAAATGCTATGCAAAGAATCAGAAGGAGGCTATAACTAGAGTATTCAAAGAAAACCTTTCATGGTTATACCTTTCAGAAAGGTTTGAATATATATGCTACTTGTTCTTGAATCAAAGTCCTCTACATTACAGTTTGTAATTCTTCTCAACCTAAATTTTGTTTAATAGAACATTTGTTTTTGCAATATTTGAGTATACTTACCACAAATGGTAATACTTGTTAGATGGAATGCTAAAGTAAATCATGTTTTATAGGAGGAAAATACTTTTTATTATGATTAAGTGGTAAGAGCACATAATGTCAACTTGGTAACAAATATGTTATTTATTTGTTAGAACATGGCAGAACTTTGCCTTATATACAAGGCAGACATTACTATTTGTCTGCCTTAAATACATGATTTCCCCTTCACTATTATCAGCAGAACCTCCAATTTGAATACCAAAGAGATCAACTAAAACTATCTTGCCAGGTATGGTGGCATATGTCTGTAATTTCTGCCACTTGGGAGGCTGAATCAAGAGAATCACAAGTTTGAAGCCAGCCTCCGCAATTTAGCAAGACCCTATCTCAAAAAATAAAAATAAAAATAAAAAATAAAAAATAAAAATAAAAAGGGCCGGGGAATGTAGCTCAGTGGTAAAGAACTCCTGTACACTATTAAAAAATCCTAAGTACCAAATAAAACAACACAATGAAAAACTTGTCTTCTAATTTCACTTGCAGCTAGGGATCATCATATGACACAGCTTTGGCCAATGAGATGAGATGTAGGCAGAAATCCTTGGGGAATATTCTTTCCTGAATCAAAAGGCAAAGACTGACTAGGAGAAAACTCCTTTATTCTATTCCCTATTGTGCTTCCCCTTTCTTGTTGGCATTTGTAATTATTTGTTGACCTGCTGTTTGGAGTCTTGTAATTAATTTCTTTAAACATAATACAAAATAGGCCATGTTGAATTGAAAAAAAAACGATTATCACATGAATATGCTAAATCTTTTTGATACTTGTATTTATCCGGAGCTAAACTAGATATTTACATAATAATTACATAATAATGTAACAACATGTATGTAACAATAGGTATAGAAAACAATTTGTACCCAGTTTGACTGTTTTCTGTATTGAAGACTGTTTTCTGTATTCAAGGCCTAGAAAACAGTTAGTATACATTAAATGAATATTTACAGAATTATTTACAATCTATAATTATGAATAATACTTCTTTATGTGCCACAGGGAATATGCAGGGATGATGTAAACAAGGTTTTTGTTTTGAGGAAGCCAACAATTTCATGAGATGACAGATGTGTTCACAAATAAATGTAAAACAAGTATGTATATGATGTACTCTGAATAGGCTGTCCAAGAAGAGTCTCCAAGTGGGAATGAAGGAATATAGAAAAAAAGGGGTTGCCTCAAACACAGGCAAAGCACAATTTTCAAGGCCTAGAAGCCAGACCAATTATTAGGCCTGGGTGATGGGATTTACAGAGTAGCTAAATTTTTGTCTTATGTATGTTGTTTCTAGATGAAGAGCCTGGGGTTAAGCAGGTATTGAGTCTATAGTTCTATGATCATTCATCCTAGAGACATCTCACAGCATCCATGGGGACCAAAGCTCCTGGATTTCAGATGTTCCTTGTACCAGATACAAAGGAATTGATGGAAGCTTTGCCACCAACTGGCATCCTTGTCTGGTTTACATGCTGTGTGCAGTTTACTAGCTCCTTCAGGATTAAACAAAGTAAAAGCAACCCTAAAATGATGCCCTTTGAACACTACCTTGGAGTAGGCTGTGTGGCCTGTGGGGATGTAATTCGTGCCATTAGAACACTAAAAAGCAAGTTAAAGAACTGTGAAGAAGAAGAACAGATTCTGCGTGAAGCCTTCATGAAGGTGGTAGCATTTGAGCTAGATCTTCAGAGATGACAAGACTTAATATGAAAATCAGAGGAAGGGCACTGCAAGAACATGAAACAATATAAATGACAAAATCGAAGTGAGAGAGCAGAGCTGTGTATTGGAAAGGAAGAGCAGTCCATTTTAGCTGAAGAATAAGATGTGTATGGGGAAACTGGAAAGGGAATAAGGGTCAGGCTAAGAGGATTGGCATTTAATATGTCAGTAATGGGAACCATGAAATATTGTAACAACTATTAAAGTGGGAGGATAAATAAAATAGGGGATATGTGAGTAACTTTTACAGAATCATTGGGTATGAAACACGCACATGAAGTCTGGGAGCCCAGACATGAACTGAGGCCACATGTGATTAGAGAATAAGATAGGAATTTGAATGCTTTATTTTAAAACCAATTGTTTTGCAGGAACACTAAAGAGAGAGGAACCATGTATGAATTTTTCGGAATTTGAGCATATGGGAGGATAATAATACAGTGAAGGCAGGAAGAGGGAAACACAGTATTGGACAGCCAGGTGAAAATGTCCTACAGGTGGTTAAAAAATAAGAGAATGGAGCGCAGGTGAGAGGTGGAGTAGAGAATGAGTCACCTACACTGAAGTGATTCAAAGTTTGGTCTGTCATAAACATAGTATAGGAACCTAATAACAGGCCCTAAATACAGGGCAAATGTTTAACAAGGAAGACAGAGATCTTAGAAGCACCTCGAGAAAACAAAACAAACCCCACCACGATTATTGATATTTATAGCTCATGTTTGTTTTACCGCTGTTAAATTCTCAGAAGCTCTTATCCCAAACTGACCTTGTAACTGGCAGGAAGAACTGTCAAGGGCAAATTCTTATATGGAGATTTGACACCAAATTGCCAGGTATTTTAAGTCTAGAATATGACATATACCCGAAATGACACAACTAAAGTGGACAAAAGCATACTGGGGGGGGGGGGCGTATGTGTGGGAGGAGACATATTCCTGAACCACAGTTCAAATGTATGTATTGATGATTGTTAAAACTAATTCAAACACTATCACAGAAAAGTTCTCAAAGAGACATATGGTTGTGCTTGGGCAGAGATCCCTGCGAAGCAGGGGTAAGGTTAAAGAAAAGAACTAGAGTGGCCAAGAAAGAGTAGCACAAGTGATTGCGTAGCTCCCAGTCGGAAGGCGGCTCTCATTACCAAGCATACTTGCGGGATGGATCACCAGCACGACCACATCAGTTAATACCAACGCAGGCGTGCGCCAAGCAGGGGCGGGGTCACACCCAGCGATGCAAGAAAGCCCCTTGGGGGGAGCTGGGCGGAGCCGGAGGCCCCACCTCCGGGCCTACTACATTTCCCTAAATTCCGCGCGGCCGCGAAGACTCACTCCCCGGGCCGGAGCTAAGACTTGCCGCATGGGATTGGGAGTCAGGTTACATGCGCCGCCCAAGTGGACGCTAGTGGGGAGATCTGAAGGGATTGGCTAGTGAGAGTTCGAGTCCCGCCCACATATGGTGACGACAGGCGGTCGTCTGGCTACTTAAGGCGTCGTGGTCTCGCCCGCCCCGCCTTAGCTCCCGCGCTAGAGAGAAACATGTATCGTTTCCGATCACAGCTCTTCACGGGGATTTCTGCTGCCGCCACCGCCCATTTTTACCCCCGCCGCTTCTCGCCTCTGTTGTTAGCCGAAGACTCGCCTCTCAGCCGCCCGCCTCACAGACGTACGAGTAGAAAGTGCAGCTCCATCGGCTGATCCTCGCTAAACTCCGAGTTTAGACGGCACCGGGCGTCCCACGATGCCGAAGAATAAGAAGCGGAACACTCCCCACCGCGGTGGTGGCGGCGGCTCAGGGGCAGCTGCAGCAACGGCAGGTAAGGGGTATCCCCGCCACGGCGTCCTGGTGCCGGCCGGGTTGGCGAGGCTCCCAGCCTGGGGCAGTGGGAGTTGTAGTTCCGTCTTGCCTTCGGACGTTTGCGTCTCCCAGGCGCGTGGTGTGGCTGGCAAACTACAGTTCCCAGCGTGCCCTCGGCGCCGTGCCTCGCGCGATTTGGTTCCGGCGTGCGAATCACACTTCGGGCACCGGCCGCTAGGGCAGGGAGGAAAGGGCCCTTGGGCTTGAGTGTGTGTCGGGATGAAGGTGCTTTGGAGTTGCGTGGGAAAGGAGCTGCCCCCAGAGACTACTGCTAGTTAGCCCTAGCTGACCAAGAGCGGGGTAGAGGTGGAGTTGCTCCCGTGCTGTCACCGGCCGCTTGTGAATCCCAGCTTAACATGGAGTGCCAAACGTCTGGCGGGTTTGGACCCTCTCTTGCGTCACGCGGCTTGGACCTTACGCTATGCGGCCGGGATGACGCAGAGGCGCGCGAGTGGCTTCCATTCTGCTGCCTTCCAGCACATCCTGCTTGTTTCACCTGGCGGGGCGGAGACCTCGGAGGATGCGGCCACCGCCCCACCTTTGGCTGGGACCTTGCTCAGTACTGGCACCTGCAGAAGCCACGCGCCCCTGCCCCACTGCGGCTAGTCGAGGCGACCTCCTATTCCCCCAGGCAGAAACCGCGTTCACCTTTAGTGCTGCATTCTGTGGGTTCTCTGCAGTGAATCAGGTGGCAAGGAACTCAGTTTGCAGTTGGGGAAAAGTTTAGGGTTTTGGGGCCCTTACTGCAAAGTAGAAGCTTTTCCTAATGGGTAGGTGTTAACTGTATTTACTTATAATACGGTTAAGAAAAAATTCCAACCGGAAAGTCAGTCCTACAAGACACCACACTAATCTCAATTAAAGTATTCTAAAACTGAACACAGTCATCTCATTTAGTAATTGTTGAAATTATGGAGTTGAATATTGGGATGTCCTCGGAGATCATCCAGCTAATATTAGCCTTTGGGTATTTGTTGACACAGTTGCCACTCTTTCTGATCCTCAGAAATAGTAAATATACCAGTTATCTTGTTACAGATTATTGGAAACTGTATGGCAGCCTGAACACCTATGATCACGTATTATACACTTAATAATTGACATTGGAAATGGATGATTACAAATGCAATCCTTCTTTATGTTGCTATCCTGATTGAAAACTCTCCATTTTGGTGAAATTTATTCTTTACCAAGCTGCAGAATATATAGTTTGTGACATTTCATTGCTTTGGGCCAGCTGAGGAGACCTCTTATCCTCTGTTTCAGTGTTCCTTATTTGAAATACACATTTCAATTCTGCCTAGAAGACCATGATTTTATTTTTTGTGTGTGTTGATGAAATGGAAGTAATGAGAAAAGCAGCAAGCAAACTGAAGTTGTTTGGAAATTAGTAATAGTGGTCTTTATGAATCACAAACATTTCCTTTTGAAGCTTCCTGGCATACCTGTTTCCTTCCTTGTTCAGTACTTAACTGTAGAGGCGTCTGATGGCTGTAGGGGAATTGTCTTTAATATTTTGCCTCAAGGATGACTTGTGACCTGTCAGCCTTATCACAGCCCGCCTTTTTAGCAGAAAAGGTTCATTTAAACACTGTATTTTAGTATATACAATACAAACATTTAAAACTCTTAATTTTTAGCACATACTGGCAAATAGAAAGTAATTCTTTGAATAGTCTATAAAATTACATGCTTCCCAAGTTTTTTGGATGTTTACATTAGAACTTATTAACTCTGGTTTCCTCTTGTGAGTAGGACTGGGGGAGGGGTGGGTATGAGATTGGCTTTTTTAACTTGATCTCATGGAATGTTTTGCCTATTTGATAAATAATCAGCAAGTAATAGTTGAGTAGAAGAGGTGGAAATTTCACAAACTTGAAAACCACTTACTAATTTTTAAAATAATATGTAGAGGAATGAGATTTAAATGAGGTTTCCACTATATAGCCAAATAGATGACCAACTTCTCTTTATCACTTTAATGGACTTTCCATTGAGACTGGAAATTTCCAGAAAGCTAAGAAAATCTAATACAAGTATGCCCACTTATGGTGATTAAAAAAAATAAAATAAAAATTAAAAAAATATATATATATATATAATTTTTCTTAGTTGTAGTTAGACACAATACCTTCATTCCATTCATTTATTTTTATGTGGTGCTGAGGATTGAACCCAGGGCCCCTCACGTGCTAGGCTAGCGTTCTACCGCTGAGCCACATCCCAGGCCCAACTTGTGGTGATTTAAAGAGAGCATTTTGTTGTGGTACTAGATATTGAACCCAGGGCCTTGTGCATACTGGACAAGCTCTGAAGGGAGCAATTTTCAGAAAGGAAAAAAAAAATCATAATAAATCCTGTGGAAATAAGGACTTTATGTATCTAAAGTGCCACCTCATTAATAGGTGAGTTTGTCAAACTCACAAAGTTTGACCCAGATATCAGGCAATATGCAGGGTTTTTCCCCCTTTTTTTTTTTTTCTTTTTTGTTTTCTTCTCCTAATCCCTCTTTCCCTTGACTTTTGGGGAAAAAAGGGAAATGGAAACTGACTATAGTCAAGAGAAGTTATTGAACTATTCTTAAAAATGGCTGAATATGAAAAATTAAAATTGTAAATTGACTTGTGAGTTGTAAAATTAATCAGATGACGCTCAACTGTTGCCATGATTTCTTGTCATGAAGACAATGAAGATGGATCCAGAAATAGAGTACAGCATCATAGATCTTTGTTTACTTCTATTTTAAGCACGGTGATTGTGAAATTTTAGGATCTTGGTTTCATTATTCTTTATGCAATAAGCAAGAAAATTGGAAGGCTACTTGCTATGTTAATTTAAAAATCTGCTAAGTTCTCTGTTTTGATTTAAAAGAAATAATGACATACCCTATTTAAAAGAAAAATAACTCAGTTACCTTACAGGGATTTAAAAAATAAAGGTAGTAAGTAATATGAACTTTTTGAATGTAGGGTCTTTGTGATATTTGGTATAGTCTTTGATTTCCCAACTAAGAGAAATAGGGCTTAGGTAAATCAGGTGATTTGAAGGCACTCGGGGTAGAATTTGTAACTCATTCTAGCTCAGTCAGTGTTCAGTATAATTTATAACTGAGTAACCTTTATTCCATCAAATATTTTTAATGGTGCATTGTTACATATAACGATGGAATTTGTTATTACTTATTCATATGCGCACACAATATAATAATATAATTTGGCCAGTAGCTACTTTTTTTATTAATATGAAATTCCTAAGTTATCATGAATTTGTTCCATAAGTTGATGATATTGAAAGAAATATTCTAGTTTTTAAAAAGTTTTTTTTTTTTGTATTAATAGCATGGATATTTTTAAACTTGAGTATATTGGATCCTTAATTTAACAGGCTTTTATGACATATGAAATAGTAAAGTTTCTATTTGAAGCCTTTTCTCTCCCTCCTTTTAATTCAAATTATCTTTAAAACTACCTTACCTTACCTCTAATTTAACATAAAATGTAGCCTAAATGTTTGCATATATAGCAACAAAATCATCTTTTTTCTTTTTATCTAATAGGTGGCCAGCATCGAAATGTTCAACCTTTTAGTGATGAGGATGCATCAATTGAAACAATGAGCCATTGCAGTGGTTACAGTGATCCTTCCAGTTTTGCTGAAGATGGTATGAATTTTAAATATAATCTTCCAATTTGAGATAAAAAGTTGTTTTAGGTGAAGGAATTCTTATAGCTAAAGTATATTATACTTGTTCCACTATCTGCTTTTTCCTTTCTTAAAGTTACATTGATGGTTTATAATTATTCCTTAGGGCCAGAAGTCCTTGATGAGGAAGGAACTCAGGAAGACTTAGAGTATAAGTTAAAGGGATTAATTGACCTGACCCTGGATAAGAGGTAGGAAATACTAAAAACTCTCCATTCTGGGTGATTCTGATTAGCACCTTATAATTTGGGCAGTTCTGTGATACAGCTTTTCTGATGCTTTTTTGTTTACTTTGGAGGAATTAATGTTTTTTGTTCCTTTAGCCTATTAATGTGGGTAGTACCTTGACACTAGGATTTAGATCAATTTGAATTGATCATTATTCTAGCATATATGTGACTGTATTTTGTTACAATGGAAATAGATTTATTGAATTAAAGTTAATCTTCAATTAGAGATGATAATTAAACTTTGCTTTAAGCTGTCTGTCCACTGATTTTAGTATGGACATGAAAAATATCAAAGCTGTGTTGTTTTCTTTATAGTAGTTGTAGAACTTACTAAGGGATGGAATTGTAAAGCCCAAATGATGCAAACATTGTAAGTTAAAAATGTAAACTTACTATAATACTGGAGAAATCATACATTGAGACTGTGAAATATTATTCACTCAGAGTTCTGCCTATCAAACTAAAAATCAGAAAGATGTTCTGATATAAGCAGCTTAAAAATCTTTTATGTATTAAGGTAAGTTATAAATGAAAATTACTGAAAAATGTTTAGGACTTGAAGATAATTTAGATTTAAACATTGTCTAGTGGCAACATTCTCAACTAGATCTTTCTTTTTTTAAATAGTGTGAAGACAAGGCAGGCAGCTCTTGAAGGTATTAAAAATGTACTGGCTTCAAAAATGTTTTATGAATTTATTCTGGAAAGAAGAATGACTTTAACTGATAGCATTGAACGCTGTCTAAAAAAAGGTAATCACCCTTATTTTTGAGTAAGTGGCGCAGAATTAATGATGAATTTGCTGTCTTCTTTGCAATAACATTTGTTAATGACATTAACAATTCTAGTTTAGTCTTCATGATAGTCAAGGAATATTGCATGCTTGTTATAACTGAGAATGAGATTTG